TGATCGTCTACCTCGCGATCGGTCACAGGAGGACTCCCCCGTTGGTCAGATTGGCTGCAGGAGACCTGCTCCCCCCGCACTCCAGTCAGTGAGATTGCCTGCCAGAGGACCCCCCCGCCCCGCTAGCTGACTGGTCGTGGGGGGGCGGGACTAAGGTGGCACCAGTCACCCATGGCCCTAAGGATACATATGCACCTGCATAGTACCTAGCAGTAGGTGAGGAGTGCACCCTGGAAGGCACCAGCTCTTGTGGTTCCTTTTAAGAACTAGTAGAAAGTGTGGGAGTGTGTACACTTGCTTCATGTCAGCTGCCAAATAGCAGCCAGGGGCCTTCTGTTACCTATGGAGCTGGTTTCACTGGGCTGGTGACACAAGTTTATGCTGCCACAGGGGATCAGGGAGTGTGTCCACACTCAGAGTGTGATGGGAGAACTGAGCTTTGCCAGCAACAGTATGCAGTGCTGACCAGGCCAAACCTAGACATGCTGTCTCCTTTAGTTAACAGAACAGAACATTTTTGAGCAAGCTCAGGTCCTCCTGGGTATGTCCTTGCCCACTCCTTCAGGGCTCCTGCCACATGCTTGAGGCAAAAACTGCTTGGGATACTTTCTTCTTTTTCTCTTTTATTCATATGCTTTTCTTCCTCCTCAAAAAAAAGTCTAACAGGAGACTGACCCTGAGTTTTCAAAGCTAAATACTTCCATCCTTGTCCTTAAGGACTTATGTGGAATCTGAAAGGTGACCCTCTCGAGACACCTACACCTTCCTGAACAACTGATCCCAGAGTGTCTCTAGTTGAGAAGCCTGTTAGACAGAATATACACTGGAAAAAAACACTTCCACAAGTGTGCTGACAGTTAAAAAAGAACCATAAATTAATTGCACTTTACCACTACACTGCTAGGAACTGTGTAAAACTCAGGCAAAATCTAGATAGCTGATAGAGGTCTCAAAGGGAATTTACATAACACTTTTGACAGCTGAGCCTATGAACTTCACTTCATCAACCTCTTGGATACAAAAAATCATGGACTAAATATGGACATTGGATTTATGACACACTATAACCTGCCAAACATCTGAGACCCCAGGTATGTCTCCACTATTTACCAGCTATTTCTCCCCTGGCACCCCGCCATTCCCCTGCCTTCCCCCAGCCTGTATCTCAGGCACTGACTCCTCAGTTTACATCTTCACCGACTGCCTGTCTTGTATGCATACCAGCCCAGCCTCTAGCCTCTTTACTATTCATTCCATCCAGGAAGAGCACACACCAACTGCAGATGCTTCCTCAGTCTGACGAAGGGTATTTGAACCCAAAAGCTTGCTAAGAAGAATTTTTCCAACTATTTGAGTTGGTCTAATAAAAGATATCAGATTTATCCAAAGAACCTTGTCTGCCTAAGACCTTCACTGGCATTACTGTAGGATTTTCTCTGTTTGTTGTTTTGTATTTTTCAGGTGTTTCTGAGGCAAACAAGATTGGTTATTGTTCTTGAACTTTCGATCATTTTTATTATTATAGGAATCATTCTCATGCCCTTAGCTTTAAAGAAACTAAAAGGAAAAAAAGTAAGTAGAATAAATGGTTCATGTCAACTTTGTTACAAAGTTCCAGTACAATCCCTGTTCCTTCCTCTCTGTTCATGCCTTTTGTGAAACACAAAAAATATTCTTACTTTCTTGCTTTTAAGGACTGTTGGAAGTGTTATGCAGAGTTAACATGCCAGGCTGTAGTTTTCACTGCAGTGCTAATAAGAGCTGCCAGTCAGCTTTAAAAAAACTAGGTACTGTACAGCTGCTAAGTAAATGCACATTTCCATCCAAGAAAAATTAATACTGTCCTAGCTGTGATCACACCCTTCCTGCTGGTCACTCACCAAGTTGGTTGTGTAGAGACCAACTTTAGGGCTGTACAAAGCTTCAGGTTGTGATTTGATTTGGAGGAGATTCAGCCCGATTTGGTGGCCAAATCTCCAAATCCAAATCAAATCCGGGGACCAATTTAAAGGTCCGAATCGATTGAAAGCTTTCTGAATCTTTGGACAAGATTAGGAGAGCTTTGGTGATTCAGGCAGTCCCCGGTGGCTGCAGTAGGGAGCTGCAGCTAAACTCTGAGTTAGTAGGGGCAGGGGAGGGGGGCTTGGAGAGGGGGCAGGGGACCATGGGGGGACCCCTGCCTGCTCCCTCAGTCCCCCAACCCCTGACCACCCCAGTTCCTGGCCCTTTAAAGAAAAGCCCCAGTGCCCACTGGGTGCTATCAGGTGGGAGGGCAATCCTTGCTGCCCCCCACTGCATCACGCTGCATGGGGGGCTCTGTCATGAGCCCCCCGCCCTGACTCCACTCCTCCAACCCCACCATGGCTTCCCCGCCCAGGCCAGCTCCAGCCCTTTAAGAAAAACAAAACGAAGAAAACCCGCAGGACTCACCGCTCCTGCAGCAGCCTTGGGGCTTCAGGGGGCTCATGGCAGATGCCCCCATGCAGCAGGGGGCAGTTGGAATTGCCCCCTGATTGACAGGAGCAGTGAGTCCAGGGCTTTCTCTTATTTTTGTTTTTTCTTAAAGGGCCAGAACTGTAGCAGGTGGGGCAGCCATGTGGGGGGTCTGGGGGAGTAGGGGGAGGTCAGGGGGCTCATGCAGAGCCCCCCATGCAGCGTGGGGCAGTGGGAGACAGTGGGGATCACCCCCCGCCCAGCAGCACCCACTGAGTTGGGGCTTTTTTTCCCCCTAGTGCTGGGAGCTGGGGCAGGCAGGGCAGCCATTGCTGGACTGGTGGGGATGGGCCTGGTTGATTTGGAGATTCAGCCAAACCAAATCAGGACAGTGATTTGAATCACTAAATCGAATCACTGTCCCCTGAATCATCTGAATCCGAAGCGAATACTAGCCACTTTGCACAGACCTAACCAACATGCTTGATTGTCTTTTTAAAGCCTTTGAAAGCTCTCTTAGATCCTACCTCTCTGGCACATATCCTGGGCCCAGAATCTGTCAGACATCCCTTTTCGGTGTGGGATCCTCTGATGCCATACCCTTCAAACCAGTTTTTATCTGAGATTTACTTTTTCCCAGAACTGCAGTTCTTTCTAAATTTACATTTTGACACTTTGGAAACATGGTCATGCAAACAAATACCTGCAATGTTTCAAGAGGATTTCTAAAACTGTCCCCATTTACTTGAGCCAGCACACAAGAGATCAAAGCACAGCAATACACCCTGGGATGCTGTTACCTGCCTCAGTTTCTTCAGTACTCCAGAGTAGGGCCCTGAGAAAATTGTGAATTTCTTGTCGAAAATTTATGGCACATGCATGGCTAATGTATCATTTTTTCATGGAACTACCATTGATCTTGGCAAATGGGTCCTGGCAGTTCTGTGAATAATCCTTAAAAAAAGATGTTTTACCCGCACACATGCGGCAGTCAGGCACACAGCCATAGGTGATGAAAGGCCCTGGCTAACGGGACTTATCCCCTCAAACGCTGGGCAGTGCAGAGGGCCACAGGGCAGCCTGGGCAGTTGCAGCGAGGTGAGCGGGGGAAGGGAATGCACAGACAGACATGGACCCTGAACGCAGCCAAGATTGCAGCCAGATGGCCCTGCAACCACCACAGTCTAGTAGCCAGGTGATGGAGGAGGGACCAGAAGCTCAGTACTCTCTTACTTGAACTATGAGGCCTTACCCAGGGGTATTACTCCATCCTTTCTTGACTTACAGACCTGGTCTCAGTCAGATTCTCCATGTGCCCTGCTTCCCACATTGCTGTACCAGACAGTATTTGCTCCAGGATTTTCCTGTTTCCTATCTGCCACTTTCTCTGCACAACAAATACTGCTCTCTCCACTATGTTTTTGCATGAGCTTGCTTTCTCCTTCCACCTCTTCCCTAGGGTTCTCTCCTCCCCCTTGTCTGTCACCCATTCCTAGCTCAGGATGCTTACTGGTCTTTCTCCACATTAGCCCTGCTATCTTGGCTGGGGTTTCCTCCTCTTTCCAGACCCATATATACTGTTCTGATCCTTAGGTTTCAACCAACACTGCTATGCTTTGAAGGTGAGGTGTGGCTTCTACTTTGCTGGCTCTTCTAGGGACCAATATGGAGAGCTGCAAGAGGGCATGTGCAGCAATCAGCATTGAAAGCAACCAGCAGAAGAGGCCCTTAGACCAAACCTATGGAGACTACCAGTAGAACTTGTCAGGAGCCAATTCTTGCCATGAAATCACAACCCCCTCCTCTGGAAAGCAGAACTTTCCCTAAAAGGAGGTAATACTACTGTTAGCGGTCCTGATGCTGATCCTTCTTGTTGTCTATCTACTTCAAGGTCTGTTTCTGGTTGGCTTCCTCCAATGGCTGTGGCAGGCAACTGTGAAAAGAAAGTGTGGTACAGAAAGGGGTGGTACTTGAAAATGGGGGTGAACAGGACTATAGAGGGAAATCAGGACATGAGACGATATGTAGATATATCTAGACAAGATAAGTTGGGGAGCTCTACAAATGGGTGGAAATTTTAATACTAGAACTAGTGCATTAAACCAAGCTATTTCTTTTAAGAAATGCTGGCTGAATGCCTCATGGGACTGGTACTTTCTTCTATAGCAGCCCGAAGTAATATAGTACAATATAATACAACAATAAATAAAGTTTCAAATAAGAAAGACATTTTGAACCCACCCCCGCAAAATTTGAAGTGCTTTGGCTTGCCATTTTTCTGTCTGATGTGTGTTTAGCTTTCAATGAATTTGATTAATGGTTAATGATTAATTATTCCAGCTCCTCTGGCGATAGTTGGCTCAGTTACAAAGTACAGGAAGGAAGCAAAGTACAAGAAGGCTCCCTGCCACAGCCATTCACATGACATAATACAGGATATAATGTTGCAAGTATTTTCAATGTCATGTCTCTCCTGATTGGTCAGTACTGACCAATAGGCAAGAAGGCGCCAACAGGCAAACAGGCGCCAATTTTCTCAACTCCATCTCTTTGACAGTGATGTTCCTTGCAGATTCCTTGCAGGAAAGGAAGGTTAAAATATTCCATACGATGTGTTTGCAGAGGGATTTGTGCTTTAAGTTCTCTATGCCTCTTCTTTGTAATGTTTGCCTGCTTTGGGTTGCAGTTACAGGTAGGTGGTTTTTCCTTTTATCCTCCTATTTATAATGCAGGTATGTGACTGGGATCACTGGTAAATTTGGTCCCAGAAAGGGCAGAGAATAAGGTACATCAACTGAGAGGAGTTGTCCTGTTCTGTCAGAACATTTTCAATCAATAACAAGAGGAATGACTGACTCTTAGAGTGGTGGGCACAGAAACTGGGAAAGAAAATGCCAAAAGTCAGAGCTTCTCACATAATGCAATTATCAATTGCACTTTCTCACTTTTTAAAATAAAAACATGTTAAATATATTCTTTCTAGCCCTTACAGCACAAACTTCCTTCTGTGCTTAGCTAATGAAATAGAGAAGTTCAGCAGACAAGGGTGTCTAATACCGTGCCTATGGGAGACAAAAAGAGGCAGTATCAAAATCCCTTGCAGAACACTGCCCAGTTTCTCATCTCTCTGCTTTGTACATGTTCTGTTTTTGTGAGGACCGAGTTATTAATTGTGTGGGAGTTTAAAGAGAAGGGTATCACTGATGGCAGGTCCCATAACTGTCATGTTTTTGTGGTATTGTAAACTCATTCAAATATTTCTATGATCTCTTAATATATCTCTGGCAGAACTGGCAAAATGAGCCAGAGGATAAGCTAATTGCGGAGAACCTCCATATGTAGAGAGAGAGAACAAGTAGCTTGTTTAAAGGGCAGACAAAGGAATATAATAAAGGCTCTTCTGTTTGGGACTGCATGAAATGCATGCTCTTGTGACCTCTTGTCCCACAGGGTGTTGCACCTTTCATGAATTAATATTTAATTTGCTCTTGATTTGGGCTTGTTTCCAGGTTTTAAAGAAGCAGTGCAGTGTGAAATGGTTCCTGCGGTAGCCATCGGTGAAAATGTGACCCTCAGCTGTAACTTCACCCTTCCTCTAGATATTCTACAAATAACCTGGCAGAAGAGGATAGGACCTTCATTCCAGAACATAGCCACCTACAGCAAGAGACACAGACCTAAATCTGTGGGATTACTTCAGAACAGAGTCCTATTTACAGATACAAGACTGAATGCATCATCCATCACTCTCCCCAATGTGACGCTACAGGATGAAGGAGATTATAAATGCCTCTTCAACGCATTTCCACATGGTTCTTTCAGCAGAGATACCCACCTAACTGTGCAAGGTAAAGTTGTACCCTTTTTCTTTAGCATTATAGTCCCTTTTGGCAGAGGACTGGAAATATCCATGGAGTTGCCTTCCTTGTGAATTCATTAATTAAGAAATAAATGTTTGCTATATAATCTCTATGATACTTTTTAGACATGAAATATAGTGTATTGTCTGAGTTCATAAACCTCTACCAACTGATTTGGGTACAGACATATAAAAACTACCTACGTAAAAAGTTATTTTGCAATGCCATACACTTGAGTTAGGAAACAACCTTTACTGCTGCCAGATAAAATATTTCCTGCCCCACTGGACATCTGATCTGTGCCATGAACCAAGTACTCAAAATCTCTTTTGCAAGGCATCATTTGGAAATTTAACACAGAATTAAGAATAAATAGCTTTCCCTCAACATAGTTTTTGAGAAAATTACTTTTGTTTAATAAAAATATTTAATAGTAAATGTTGTTTAATACAAATATTTAACAGAAATTGTATTACCATGGGCACAGGTCAATAGAATTTAAACCCTGAGCTTTCCCTGTTACAACCCAGATTGCTTCAGCTCTGGCAGTGACTTTCAAACTGGTCTGCAGGACCCTGGGTTCTGCAATAGGTCACCAGGGGTTCTGCACAGAGGCTAGGGGTAATGGTGGAGAGGCCTGGGAGGCAGTGTGCCAGCACTGCTGAGCCACGTTACCTGGCTCCACATCAGGTCACACTGCCCACAGAGCTAGGAGTGAAGGAATGGCAGCAGAAAAGGTGTTATGAACGGGTTCTGTAACTTCAGGAAGTTTAAAAACCACTGAACTATAGGGACTACATAAGCCAGCAGCATATGCCATCTATCAGCCTCTACAGAGAACATAAAGCTGGTACCATGTGCCACTTCCAGAGAGTAGATACCACCCCCTGCCCAACTTTCTCTGTTACTTATCCTTATGAAGTGTAAGGTTTTGAACTATGTATTCAGGCAGGGATATAGGAGTATAGGGTGCCCGGAAGCCATGAACCTAGTCTAGGAGTATGTCTGGGTGTCTGTGTTTGTTTTAACTCTCCTCCATACCCTCCTGTGTTTGCTCACAAATATTCCCACTCCATTGCATCTCCTATGGCAATGATGTAACCCCGGTGTTAATGCTCATTTGTTATCACATTGATGAGCAGGAAAAGAGAAGCAGTGATTTCTGCCGGTTGATAGCTCAAAAACCTAAACATATTTCTTGGTAGAAAGAACAATGCATTTTACTACTCTTAGAGCCTTTGCATGGTTGAATTTCAAAGGCAGCAGCAAATGATGGAGGTGCTAGAGCACATAAATATAAGTATTTATAATGGAAAATCTTATGCAAGTTAAATATCTAGTGATTGCTACCAATTACCAGCATTCATATAGATACATTGCTGATCAGATTGATTCAGGCAGATGGACTGGACTTCTTCTGCTTGCCCTCGATTCTACATCCAATTTCCAAAGGGACTTCCCCTGACATGGAGAATTTCTACTTAGAAGCTAATGCAGCAGTTTCTGAGTAAGATTTCACTTAGACTAATCGAGAGGATTTGTGTCCAGAGCTATCCTGAGCTTTTTATTCCTGATACAGAAGCCAATAAGCAACCATTATAAACTAAGTAGATAAGATGCCCATCAATGTCAGTAACATTTAACCAAACCTATAACACTATTTAACAAGCTCAAAAGGAACACCCTCAAGTCTGTTGCATTTTGTTTCTGCTTTTAGCTGTTTCAGAAATAAGAGCCGAGCTCCACATAAATTTCATTAGCCAGGGGATCCTCACTGCGATTTGCTCGGCTACTGGAAGGCCTGCCCCCAAAATCACCTGGCGACCTGAGGGAGTCCTGACTGATCATAAGCCTGACATAGGCAGTGTTCACAATGCAGATGGAACAGTTACGGTGACAAATGCTTGCAACTTCTCCTTGGGATGCCTCAAAAGGCTGACGTGTGTAATGGACCATCCAGACCATCCTGAAGGAATTAAAGAGAAAATAGTTTATCAAGAAGAGGATAACAGACAAGAAGAAGAATATGAAGGTAGGCTGCACTGATAAAGTGGGGTAGGATGCAGTCGGGGAATGGAAAGCAGACTTGTATTTGCAGCTACCTGCTTGACACTGACCAAAATAGAACCTACCACCTGCTTGGTTTTCCTCCAGTAAACCAAACCAGAAACACCTTAACATACAAACATAGCGAACTGTTAGATACCACGGGGAACTCGTAACAGGAGGTGAGAGAAGGTGGAGCTACTCAATAGCTACTTTGCCTAAAAAAAAAATGTTGGCTACAACCGGACACCTCATAAAGATTATTTGAATAAAGAAGTGCAGATGTTGAGGGATGAGATGACAAAAGAGACAGTCAGAGAGCTTTTGATGGATCAGGATAAATTTAAGTCAGGAGGACCTCCTGAACTTCATCCCAGGGAACTGGATTTGTTATTTAGAACAAATCATGTCAAACAAGCTTGGATAATTACTTTGGATAAGGGGAATACTGTGAGTGTATCTGGACTTCTGCAAGGTTTTAGATACATGCTGCATGACTTTATAAACAAATTGGAGAAAATGGCCTGAAGAAAACTACTGTAAAGTGGATAGAGAACTGGCTCAACAGTCTCAAGCAAAGTCTCAAAGGGCAAAGATCCAGTTATCAGTGGCTCCATGTCAGAATGACAGGAAGTTTAAAGTGGAGTCCCACAGGGGTCTGTTCTGGGCCCAGTGCTGTTCAGTTTGTTTATTAGTGATGCAGATGCCACTATAGAAAGTTTCTTGAATAAGTTTGCAGATGACAAGCAACTGGGAAGGCGTGTGAACACTTTGGAGGATGGGAGTGCAATTCAGAAGGATCTTGACAGATTAGAAAGCTGGGCTGGAGTTAACAGAATGAAATTCAATGCTGATAAATCCAGGGTGCAGCACCTCAGGAGGAACAATAAAAAATACAAATGTCAAATGAGTGATACCTGGCTGGATGGCAGCACTACAGAGAAGGATCTAGGAGTCTAGCTAGAACACAGACTCAATATGCATCTGCAGTGTGATGCAGCCACACAAAAGGGATGCATCCATAGAAGCATTGCATGTAAGACATAGAAGGTTATAGAGTCTCTCTTGTTGGCACTGGTTAGGCCTCATCTAACATATTGTGTGAAGTTTAGGGCTCTACGTTTTAAAAAGAATGTGGAGAAGTTAAAGCGGTTCCAGAGGTAGGCAACAAAACTAATAAAGGATTAGGGAGGAAACTCATACAAAGAGAGGTTTAAGGAGGTAAGTATGTTCAGCTTGTGGTAAAGGTGCTGAAGAGGAGACACAATGTACCGTTCAAATACCTGAAAGGCTGCCATAAATGAGAGGGGAAACATCTTATCTCTCTGGCTGCAGAAAGTAGGACAAGGACCAGTGACTTGAAGTTGCAGCAAAGTAGGTTTAGATGGGATGTCAGGAAGAACTTCATCATGGTTGGAAAAATGACACAGCAAAATAGGCAGCCTAGAAAAGTTGTAGACCCTCCATCATTGGAGATGTTCAAGAAGAGGTTGCAAAGTCATTGGTCAAAGATGATCTAGGCATACCTGTGCCCGTGTTCTGCTATGGGTAGTTCTCATGCTTCTGGGCTTTGCTGGTTGCTGCATGGGGCCACGAGGTAATTTTTCTTTCCTGCTGCTTCACGTGTCAAAGTTTTTTTTAATCCTACCTCACAGGCAGTGAGTGGTGGCTGCAGCCAAAGTTAGGGTCTGGACTGTGGGGGACCTTTCCCTGTAGCAGGGAGTGTGCCCCTCTTCCTGGGAACTCTGGAGCATATTTTTAACAACCTTTGCAGCTGCAAGCCACCATGGTCCCCCTGTTTTACCTGTGGCAGATAAGGATGTTGTGTCTTGTGCTGTTTCAGGGTTGATGATGAGGTTTTTATTTATGATGCTATGAAATCAGGTTTGGTTTATAACAGGAACATAGCTTGGTATTTTGGCTGCCTGAGCAGAGTGAAGGGGTGGGTGCAGAGGGGGTGGCACTGAGTGCAGGAGGCAGAGGGACAGGCAGAGTCTTACTTGCACAGCACAGACACCCCAGAGGCAAACCTAGCAGGGGGCTGAGGGCTGTGCAGATTGGGGGCAGGAGTCCCATTAGCCACACCTATGGCCAGCATCTGCAGGGGAACATGGCAGCTGATGTAGAAGGGGAGGCAGAACAAGGCTACAAAACCCTTAATTGGCAGTGACTGCCACAGGATTAACCCTGTCAGTTCTGGGCCGTGTAGACAGCTCCATGAAGCAGTGGCATCTCCCAGGGGGAAAGTGGGTGGGGTCTGACAAGGAAGCTCTGCATCCCCTTCTGTGGGGTCAGAGCCTCCAGCCCCCTGCTGCCATTTCAGTGCCCTCCTTTACATAGTGCCATGGCATGTACCTCACTCATCCACCCCCAAAAATATTCTTGGTTTAGAAGCAATTCATAAACTGACACAAAAGCTTAATTTATCCATAATGAAAAATTTACCAACTCCATTCTCACGCTACATTTGGAAATGAGGGGCTTCAGTTTAATGGTTTGCCTGGCTTACACATTCTCTTCAGAACTGAGGTACCTGGTGCTTCCTGGGCCTGGTATCTAGAAAAGAAACAAAAAATTGATCACCTCCATTGGGGCTCCTGAGTGACCTTTGTCTGTTTGTTGAAATGTGTTTTTCAGGTGTTCCTGTGGAGAAGATTATTCTTTTTCTTCTAGTTCCTATAATTTTTGTCTTAGGAATTATGATCATACTACTACAGAAAAGAAAAGGGGAAAAGTAAGTCAAATGACTGTTTAATACAATTGTGTTACCAAGCTCGGTTACAATCCCCTTTCCTACACTTCAGCTTGCTTGTGTGATGAAGCACAGGTCAAGATTATGGCTCTTCAGGACTTTGGTGGGTCTATCCAACATAAGGTGGTGCAGTGCAGTGTTAGTTGAGCTAGCTTTCTGAGTAGGTGTATAGCTGTATTCACATTGCTTTGTACCCCAATTATTGAGGTCTCAGTAGACCTTAATAACCCAGGCACAGCATTGTGCAAATATAGCTATATTGGTTCTAGCTCAGGAGCTGGCATGTATGAAACTAGCTGATATATTTCTGAATTGCACCATCTTGCAACATGTAGACAAGTTCTTTGCAAAGATTACCCAGAAGTAAACAGCCAGACTGGGCTTTTCAAAATCCTGAATGTTGTGTAATTACTTTTGGGTTCCATACATTATTCTGCAATGGCTCAGTAAACAGGCTCTTGCAATAAACCAACCAGTAAGGCACTGCAAAATAGAAAGGTGAAATAACATATTGGGTTTTATTAATTGTATTGGGTTGCAAGTCAAGTAATTTTTTCACTTTACTCAGTGCTGGGGGGAAACCTCTCCTAGAGTACTGTTTTGGGCACTGCACTTCAAGAAAGATGTAGACAGAATAGAAAGGGTCCAGTACAGAGCAACAAAAATAACTAGAGGTCTGGAAAACATGACTTATGAGAGGTTGGAAGATTTGGGGCTTTTTGCTCTGAAGAAGAGAAGGCTGATCACAGATATAGTAACAGTCTTCAAATAGCTGAAAGGTGGTCACAGCCAGGTTGGTGACAGAACGTTCTCTGCAGTTGCAGGGACATGACAAAAAGTAACTCTCTTAAATGGCAACAAGACAAATTGAGCTTGGATGTTGGAAAGAGCTTTCTAATAGTGATGATGGTTCAGTTTTGGAATACCCTCAGAATTTCTTAGGAGAAGTTTGGACCAGCACTTATGGTTTAGCCAGGGGTGATCCTGCCTTGAGCAGGGGGATAGAGATTCCACTGAGGTCACTCACAGCCCTATTGTCCTATAATCCTGTGACTGGTTAATACATGCATAAAAAAGTGCATTGTTGTCACAGTTTTTGTCTATCTATTTTCTACCCTTACTGGATTCCTTGATTTGTCTGCCCCTAATAGTAACATCTCTTAAAATAGTTAAATATCTTTTCAAACTAAAAGTGTTTACTAGTAAATATGTCCTCCCTCCCTTAAAGGCTTCTGCTGTTTTTTCCCTATATGTACATGGTATGCAGATTTGATATAAAGCATCTGCAATGTGTGAAAAAGTTTGTGTATAATGTGCACACTTCTAATCTTAAGTGTGTACACACATACAAATATTTGTATTTCTTCTTCTTGTTCAGAGCTGATTTTCTTGGGCAACAGTGTGGCTTGAACTGCAATAGGTGCCACTTGGATTTCTTCAGATCTTGAAAAGAAACCGAAGAGTCTCAGTGCTTATCAGTACTTCAGCCCCTTTCAGGAACAGTCAGAGTCTCCTTCTAGTTACCAGCATTTCAGTCCTTTAGTTAGTAATTGAGCCAATCTCCTGGATTACTGTAGTCAGACAGTAGATTTCAGACAGTACTGATCAGATAACAAATCTTTTATAAAATATCTTTATAAAAAGTCACTCACTGAGTTCTCATTTTCTTACCAGCTTTAACATAGCTGAATCCAAACAGTGTAACATGTACATGATGTATGCTCTGCTGAAGTCTTACCATTAAAGAAAGCTGCACGGTTCCAGTCAGGACCTGCCTCTGGACCCAAAACATTCCTGAGGTCCCCTGTCATGTGCTTGTACACCTGTTTGGCTTCACTGCTGAGCCCATAGTAGAGCTCCCTGGCCTTCCCTGTTAACAACGGGCTCAGGAATTTTGGATTCGTAGCATCATTCCACCCATTTAACTCATCTGCCATTTCAAATCGTCACCCCATTCTTGTTGCTCCGCACTAGAGGGAGCGGGAATATAGACACTCCATGGAATGTATGTTTCCCATGAAACTCATCTTCCCTGATTAAATGCCCACACAACAAACAACATCTATACACTCGTTGAAGCACTTTGCTCTGTGTCTTATGGCCTATGTCCACCAATTCCCATTTGCCTCACTTGTGGGATAGCTCCCTTCAGTATCCCACAACTGCCACTAATATGTGCCAATTTCTGGCACACAATTTTGTACCTGCAGCCCCAGAAACTGGCACAAGAAGCAAAGGGGTGGTCACAAGGGTTAGTGTCACAAGTCTGAGTCCAGGTCCTTCAGTCCACAGTCCCAGCTGACCGAGCAAGTGAGATTTTCAGCTCCACTGTGCACTCCAGCACCTAGGGCTGACCAAGTGCCATGTGCGCACTGCTCTCTCTTCCCCTACTCCAGCCTTAAGCTTCCTTTATCCTTGGCTCCCAGCCCCTGGGAGTTTCTGGGACTGGCAGTCCATATTAACAGCTCTGCAGACTTTGTCCTGGTACTTCCTGCTATTACATACTTTTCATTCACATTTCAATTTACTAACCCTCACTGCTGCTTTGGTTCTCCTTCTAACTGAGAGAGAATCCTGATTTGAAGTGCTTACCAAATAGCTAAAATAATTTCTGCAAATTTGGCAGCCTCTATGTGTGACAGATACTCCCATCCCATCTCTCCTTCAAGGCCAATATTACATTCTTTGAAGGAGTGTGTAGTACTCTGACTAACGCTCCCCCCTTAATCATAGAAAAATATGGCTATAAGAGATCTCAGGAGGTCATCTTGTCCAAAGCCCTGGTTCAAGCAGGGTCAGCCCTGACTAAATCATCCCAGTTAATTGTTTCTCTAATAATAATACTTAAGTAATACAAACATAACACTCACCAGTATTCAGAGTTTTTACAAAACTGGCCCTGATACCAGAAATCATTCTTGGTCCTGCGTTAATAAGCCAAGACCATAAGGCTTTTCTTGTACTAATAACCTTCCTGCCCTCAAGCTTTCAGACAAGAAATATAGAAATCAGGCCTGTCCAGAATGGTGACTTTCTATGCAGCTTCAAGAAAAATTGCTGAGCATGCCTAGTAAGTACTGTCGCTTTCTTTGGCTCTCACAGGGTGAATACTAGATGAATTGCTATGCCCTGCACTACTTTATCAATATGTGCAGGCTGCAATTATTCAAACAACCCATGCCTCCTCTCCTTTGTAGCAATCACCAGGTTCAATAAACACACACATACATCAACTAGAAGAACTAAACAATGAACTTTACTGTGGAGCAGTTGGCAACCTTTGCTCTCACTCTCTAACTAGCTAGCCAGACAACTTCTCTCTAACTAGGGGACTATCTCCCAGTTCCCAACTCCTTCAGGCTCCTGTTTAGAAGCATCTCTAAATTATAACTTCTACACCTACTCCCTTGGCTTCTCTATTTTTTTCCTTTGGAGAAAAAAATCCCTGCAGTATAAACAGTATGGGTTACATACTGTACGTATAAAAGAGACTCTGGGAAGAAATTAGAGTGTTTGAATTATAAAATAGAGATTATTGGGGGAAAAAATCTGATGAAATTTTTTGATGCAGTTTGCAAGTTCATTCAAATCAAAGCATTTTGTAGAGACAGTTGCTATTAACAACATTCTGCCAAAATCCAACTACCTCCTACTAAAGACTATAATTTATAGAGTAAGTTAAGGCTTTCTTTTTATGCTGTTAGTCAAAGTAGACCATTCTGGAAAGAAAGAAATGAGATGGACTCAGAGGTGTCATTGCAGCAGATGTAGAGAGACCTGAGCCAGCTATTCAGCATGGTTGCTGGGCACAGTGGAGCTGGACAACACAAGCGTTGCTGTAGGTTTCTTAAGCCCACCTACAACCCAAGGTACTTATATGGTGGCTGAAGTCCATTCTGTATAGATATCAGATATCCATATGACTAACTCAGGTATGCCTACATGTGCTGGAATCCCAGCTCTCATTGAGATGTGGACCCTGAGCTGAAAAGAACTTTGCTCTATAGCAGATCCATCAGGGTTTAAACATAAGAAGTGTTACTAGATAACAAAAGAGGGGTCCTGAGATTAATTCCCTTTTATTATGCCTATTATTATCAGCCCATTGTTTTCATTGTCTCTGTCCAGAAGTTAAATTCCTTTGATACAAGAGGCATGTCTCTTCAATATGTTTTGTAAAATGTGCACCATACCTCCAGTCACTTATAAATGTCTAATCTCAATATGCTAGATCACAAGGTTCCAGCATGCCCAGCACTCCTTCAAGGGAAGCATTTTTAAACGAAGACAAGGTCAAGAGTTCCCAGAACCTGCAGACACCACGGAACCAGCCTGTTTCCTATCAAAATGAGGTAATGATTTCAACAAGGCAAACACCTGAGCAAGAATATTCAAGTGGGTGCCTAACATAGATGCAATATGCCAAGGTCCTCATTAAAATAGTCACTTAACATTTTTAATTAATTTTCTTTCAAATGATAAATTGACTTCATTATCTGCTGGTATACTCTACAGATGTAGATTGAAAAAGATACCCTTTCTTTATCATATGTAAGCTTGTTTATATATTTTGTACTTGGTTCTTTTTTTTTTTTCCTTTTTTTTTTTTTTTGGAAGGCGGTGGAGGGTTTTCTATTTGTGTAATAGCATTTAATGTAAGTGAAAATCAAGACCTTGCTTCCTGTCTTTGCTGGGAAACTCTAGGAAGACATTTAGGTCACCTAGAGACATTACACTTTTTCCAATATAAGTGATTGGAAATCTATACCCACAACAGAATAGAAGTTTGGTTTTCAAAAACAGTCTATACCCACAATAGAACAGAAAAAATGGTGGAACCCGGTCTAAGGTTTGTACCCCCACCAAAGGGTGAATATGTGTTCTATCCACTACTAATTTAAACTATGTCACTTACAGAAAACCATAGTTTAGATCAATTCTGCCTCAGGCTTTTTGAATGTCTGTACCTGGCTTTAAACGTGAAGGAAACATGATTGTTTTCAGTGCACTCTGGATGAAATTAAGTGCTTAGAGCCTGTCATAAATTATTTGGTTGGTTTTCTTTTTCTTCAAAAGATGCCAATTTCTTATACACAGATTAGTAGTTTCATCTGGAACACCTCAGGCTCAATGAATTTTCAGCAACTCAGACGTAGGATATCAGCTGAACCCTGCCTGCCTTCTGTGGGACCCCCACAAGGTTCAAGGTCTGTGGTTCAAGCGAAACCATTGGTTCAAGGGTAGATAGCTATGGTTCAAGGGTAGACAGGGTTTCCAGGCTTGGTGCTCCAAAGTCCTGCCTGAAGACCCAGTGAACAACTTTGTTGTTGTGGAGCTGAGAATTGGAACTTGAAGTTCTGCAAGCCTGATCTGCAGCTCTAAAGCTGGCCAAATATTTGTGCTCCACTGGGCCACATACCCTAAAAGAAGTGAGTTTTGTGCCTCCAGAGCCACCCTCGTGGGACTGTAGATTGAAACTAAATTAAAAATAAAAATTCCATGCAGACTGGTATTCCCTTGCAGTGATGTTTCAAGAACCTGTAACTTTAGCTTACATCTTCATGTAACATTAGGTCAACAAAGAACTTGCCATGGTCTTTGTGAGTATAGTGATAAGGTTTCAGAGCAAAAAAATATTAGGGAAATGAAGTTCAAGCTAGTTTTGGAACATTTTAAAGTGATGATTAAAACCAAAACCCAAATATATCTACATTTGCTTCATACTTTAACCTCTCTAATAATGTACAGACCCCAAACCTTCCATAGACAGCTAGTGCCCAGTGCTCCTCACTGACAGTTCTCTGGGTGTAAGAGCTGGAAAAACATCACCAGTTAGGGAACCTTAGGCTTGGGGATGTTGCACTCCTTGGACAATATTGCCCCGTGAGTCCTGGACAGGCAAAATCACATTTTTTGATTGCTGGACCAGTGGCCCTTTGCCTGAATCATGCGGCCTGGTGTAGCAGTGTCCATCACACAGGCTGCTTAAACTTCAGCTCCAGTCACTCAAGACATATGAGTCTATCTCCTATCACTGTAACTATTTCTTTTCAGTAAAATGTGGAGGAGAAAGAAGCAGAGACAGGGAGAGGAAGGGGCAAGAGGCATGGAACCTGATTCTCTGTTACCATATCTCAGTATAAGGGGCAGCAACAGAGAGCAGGGAGAAGGTGGTTTTAAGCCATTGTTACACCACTCTTATTTTGAGATACAAGGGATCTCACCTGGGAGCCGGAGAACAGAAGGAAGACAGTGAGCTCTCATCATTCTTCCCAGGGTATTGGTAGACTCCCTTAAGGCCAAAACAAGGTTGCTATAATTTCTAATACTCCTTTTATACAGTGATCAAAACAAATGATGTATTACACTCCACCAATATCTTAAATATCTTGAGCTGTCCTGTACCATGGGCTTGTTCTATCTCCTTAACCAAGTATTCCCATTCCAACCTTATCACCCTGGTACTGGTCTATTCTACCCCTTGTCCAGCCATCTCCCACTCCCATCTCCTGACAGGAGTGCACATCTGGTCCACTTTCCAAGTTTTGCTTATTCAAGGAGTTCATGCAACAGTCAGGTTCACTGATCAGATCTACTCTGGCCAACAGTTTAACAAAGCTTTTGTGTGAGCAGTATACATATTAATCAGCGTTCCAGTGAGGCCTACAGTATCCTTCATGTTGTTACACAACTTTCACATCTTGAAAGCAGCATCAGCCTTTTTCCTTAATCAGTTTGTTCCTTAGTCAGTTGTGTTTATATTCCCTGACCTTTTATTATGTGAGCTACTTATTTCTGCTATTTGATTTGGAAGGTTCTATCCAGGTGATTCCTCTTAGTGTTATTCCTCCATATCTTTTCCTGTAAAAAAAAAATCATCATCATCAATGCAGCCTTACTGTTTTGCTTGCTTTTACAGGGGTCAACCTCAGAATCTCTTCGGAAAAGGTTGACACCACAAAAGCAAAATAGGAGCCGAAATATTGGAAAGGTGCGTAGAGCGACATTCCAAGACACAGAAAATAACAAGGAGGCCAATGCCCATGAGACTTCGCTGGATGGTATTGAAGAGTTGGATAATTAAATTTTAAGAAATTAAGGCAGGGGTGAAGTTTCCCTTCTGAAAATGAGAAAAAGGTAGCTGAGAATACTCCTGAAATCTTGAGAAGCTTTCACATCAGTACAAATGCTGAAATGTCCAATGTGGGGTAGCACAGGGCGGAGATCCTGGTGGCAGACAGCTAGCACCCTGGCCACAAAGAGTTCCCCTGTGGGTCTGGGACCCACAGTTCATCCCAGGGACACCTTTGGCTGGCAGGTGCTGCAGGACCTGCTCCAGGGCAGTGCCAGGGGCCTGCTGCAGGGTGGTAGGTAGGACTCAGGGGCCCCACGGGGCCAGGGCAGGGGGCCAAGTCACAGGGGACATGAGCATGGCCTCCCCGGGGCAGTCCCAGGCAGCCAGCTGCTGCTCCTCCAGATGAATGCACCGCTGTTGCAGGGCCACCACGGCCCAGTGGTTGTGAAGTGCCTGCAGAGATGCCTCCTCCCGGATGAGGTCCTCCACCTGCTATGTCTGCTGGTCTGCCCCCAAGCCCTCCACCGTGACCACCAGCCACTGGAGCAGGCAGGTCCAATCCTGCCTATACCATTGATGCAGTCAGTGCCTCTGAGAGGCTCCCATAGCAGGTGGCAGTGAGCCTGTAGCAGCAGTCCTATTGCCCCTGCAGCATCTTCCTCATATCCAGATGTTGGCCCTGCAGAGGCAAGACACAGGCTTTTGTGAGAGTTTGCAACATTTGCTCCAGAGGCTCTGCGCTGCCTGGCTTCAGATTGCAGGTCAGCCATGTGTGGGTGCCCAGGGACCATGGTAAGCTGGCCAGGCAGGCCTGGGCCCAGGTGGGTGCCGCCCAAGTCCCCCATCCCTGCTTGCTTCCCAGGGGTTAGCTGCAGGCTTCTTGCCTCCCCTGCCCTTTTTGCAGGGTGAGCCAAGCCAGGATGCTGGTAGCACCTACTGCCATGGCTGCAAGCCCAACTGTTCTCCCCTCTACCCCTGCAGACCCACTGCTCTGCTGCACTGGCACGCATCCCCTGGTGCCCGGGCTCGGGGCACGTAAGACTCCTGGGCAACTGGGATGAGGGGCTGGCCACAGCCCTGCCCTCCCTGCTGGTGACGGCTCTGGAGAGGCACCCCAGGGCTAGCCACTCCTGTATCCTGAGCATGTTGTTGCTGCATGGCTGTGGGCTGTATGTGAAGAGATGTCTGTGCAGACAGAGGGGTGCCCCAGCCACTATGCCCTGCTGCTGCCGATCCTGCTGGTGCTCTGGGCACTCCTGCACTCCTGGTTTGGGATCCTGAGCTACAAAGGCATGGGGGGCAAGCCTAGCCTGCCCCACAACCCCTACCACTGCCTGGAGGGCTACCTGCCACAGTGCTACATGTCCCTGCCCTCAGCTGCTGAGGAGATCACCGCCAGGATTGACAGCTTTCTCGGTGCATGAGAGGCCCATGCCCACCCAGCCGTGGGGACATGGGCTGCTCAATAAGAGTCTGATCTGTGTCCCACCTCTCTGTATGCTGTGGGGACAACCTGGGGCCAGGGGAGTTCAAGCAGGCTGGGAAATGAGGGGTGGCAAGGACTGTGGCTGGGGGCAAGGGTGCAGGTGGGAACTGGGGCTGGGAGGGTCTGCCCCCCAGGACTTAATACAAGTATAGGGCTGGCGAGGCTGGACGCTTGGTGCGGGGCTCCCCATCATGGACAGAGTTCAGCTCTACCCAGTCTCTGTGGCCCATGGTGTGTGGTGGGCTGCTGCCTGGCAGTGGCATGGTGTTGCTGGCAGTGGAATGGCTGGCTGCTCCTCAGGGATGGCAGCAGGATGGGGCCGAGGCCAAGCCAACCACTGGCCAGGGCTTCCTGAGCTGCCGGTGAGCACAGCAGCCAGGGAGGAGCACAAGGTGGGTCACTGAAGGCCCGAGGTACCCTCCTGCAATATCGTGTCACCAGAGGTGTCAGGGTGGTGTGTGAGTGCAAGCTCTTGAGTGTCCCACTGGACTGACGACTGTGGCCAGTCATGGGTCCTTGGCCTTCATGCGGCATTGCTGCAGCAACCAGGAGTGGCACCTCGCAGGCATCCCAGCTGCTAGGGCTTCATAAATGTGGGCATTTGAGCACCTGCCCTGGGTAAACTGCCTCAGGACTTCCTTCTTGCCCCACAGTGCCACGAGCTTGCGCACCTCCTCCCAGATCTAGTTTGGGCCCATGAGGCTCTGGATGGGCAAAAGCATGTGGACAGGAATGGGGCTGGCCATGGGGTAGGACGAGGACATCACGCCCTGCACTGGCTGACTGGATAATTGTGCAGCTGGCCCTGTGATGCTGGCCCTGGAGGGCTGGGAACAGCACCCCTGACAGAGGCACAGAGTAGCAGCCGCATGGCCGAGGTGTTTCAACATGGTCCTGCAGAGACAGAGGTCAGGAGTGAGCAGCAGTGGGGAGAAGGTGCTGGCCTTGGTGGCACAGCCAGCAGTGGCAGCCCTAGGGGGATCACAGGGCTGTGCAAAGAATACAGCCAGCCACAATCCTTGGCAGCACTCAATTGTGGCCAGGGAGCAGCTGGGGAGGGGTACAGCCCAGGCAGACCCAGAACTGTGGGCTGTCCAGGGGGGCACATGGGGCCTCCTGGGGTGCTGGAGCCACAAGCAGCTCCCGCCTGTTCCTTGAAGTCTGTGCTTCAAGGCACAAAATGACTGCAGGCTTTTTATCATGCAGCTAGGGGCTGCCAGGGAGCAACGCAGCCCAGCATCCTGAGAGGGGCCATACAGAAGTCCTGAGGCTGGGCTCTGGCTGACCCCCAGTGGCTGGGCAGACTCAACATGGAGGCCCCTAGGTTACTGTGCAGTAACATGTCTACATATGCATTACTGCGCTGTAACTAATCAGGTATAAATTTGATACCTGCATAATGCAGGTATCAAACTTCCTCTCAAGTCAACATAAATCACTGTATTTACTGCAGAGTACAGGCATACACGTGTAGACATGCACCAGTACCACGCAGTATTTTAAGTTACTGTGCAGGAAATGTGCACATGTAGATGTACATAGTTGCCAAATGTATGATTCCTGTTATGAATAGAAACATGGGATTAGATAGAGAAAGGAGGTTTCCCAGGTGAACAAGTTTGAGATCCCAGTAAACAATATTTAAAATCTGACACACAATATGAGGCTGAAATTGCACTGGGAATGGAGAGGATAGGACTGAGTCTGTATTTTAGGTAGCCAGGCACACTAGGAAAAGGGTTGTCTTTATGTACATTTGGAAAATATAATCAACAGAGGAAAGAAGGAGCGATGCATCATTGTGGGCAGTCAGTTTGTTTCAGCTGGTGATTGCTACAGGTAGCTTAGTAGCCCCATTTTGGTCCTTGTTAATGATGGACTTTGTACTTTTGTGTCAGTTGCTGTTTTAAGAGCTGCAACCTGTTGAGGAGAGTGGATGAAGGTTTGTGTGACTGGAGGAACCCAGGTACAGGAAATCCTGTAGAGGGGAGGTTCATGTTAAATATGAAATCTCTCTGAATAGTCGATGCTAATAAAACTGAGGAAATGAGCCAAATTGCGGAGTCCTTCTCATTGAAAGATAAACATTCCCCATGAGAGGAAGGGTTAAAAAAGAATTCCAGGTGAATTAAACATCCTTCCAGATGTGGTCACAGACAGCTGAGTGACCCAAATCCCTTTTCTTTCTGACCAGCAAGTTAAGTATACTTAGCGTTCCAAAAGCAGATGAGTAGCATTTCCCCTTATCCTCATGTATCCATCACTGGATGGATCCTCATGTATCAATCACATTGGGTGATTCTGCCTTAGAGAGTGAAAACAAGCAACACCACCAACCAGGGGAATAAAAGGAGAGAATAGCTAGAAGTACTGCCCTGCCAGGCAATTTAGTAACAACATTAATTACTAGTAACACTGCAATGTGGAAGGAACAGACAGAAGAAAAGAGGTGCAGAAAAAGTTTACACTTGGGAAATTTTCTTTTTTACTTAATTCAAGCATACATTTATGCTTTGGGGTTTTTTTTTAAATAAAAATGAATTTATTTCAAACTTTCTAGCACATGTAGAACAAATATCCTGTTGTGTCTAGGAAGTAAGGTAGGAGGAGAGAGTTTTAGAGTAGACAAGCATATCATTTAAAGTAGTGCAGTGATGTTTTAGCCCTGATGGTCCAAAAATCATGCAAGAGGCAAGGATTTTTTCAGATGATATCTTTTATTGGACCAACCATGTAGTTGGAGAAAGTTAGACAAGCTTTCAAATGTAAGACATTCTTTATACGATCTCTGATCACAGGAAGCCAGGCACAGCCTGGCATGTACTTTTCAAGTACAATTATGATAAAGAGTTAATATGAAGCTCCCTCCCTAACCCCAGTTCTCCTAGACTAAATGAGCATCAAAAAGGTGAATACATTGTTTTCATCCAAGAGATTTTGATAACATTTATTATAAGCATACTTAGCCTTGATGTTTCTCCGAGATAAAATATATGTTCTTAACTTGAATTAACTAACTCAAGGTAAACTCCTGGTGAATTGAAGGAAGATTGTATGTAGATTTTTCATAGTTCCAAAGTTAATTTCTACTCTTAGCAACAGGCAAATTAAGAGACCTCCGTGTTTCTGTGGTTGATCCTCTCTCTCTGGACACTGATATCTCTCTGTTTGATCCTTGGTTTGTTCCCATGTCCCAGTTAAACAGTAAGTTGTGAGAGTGTTCCTGTAGCAATCCTATGTGAAGATCTGACCTAATAATGCAACTGTATGCTTTTTGGGTTATGGAACAAACTGGCTTGGATGAAGTGGGAAGGATTTTCATTCCAGAACATAGATGCCTATAGCAAGTCATTGATTGAAATCTGTAGCATAATTTAGGAAGAAAGTGCACTTTAAGACTAAGATTGGAAGAGTCAACCCTCACTCTCTGCGTTGTGACACTGGAATATGAAATACCTTATAGTGTTAAACATTTTCTATAATGGCACAACACCACCTAGTGGATGAAACCAGGAATGTAAGT